AGAGCCATCCAGGTGCTTCTGGAATATCACAGGCTGGACATGAAAGGATGCTCAGGGCAGCTGTTACTCAGAAGAATCCCGCCTCTCAACATGAAGCTGATTCTGCAGCTCTCTCCATGCCTGTTTGATAGCGTAAATGTTTCCCAAGTAAACATCCTTTTTTAAAGCCATCGTTGAGGGGCAGTGGCTGTTCTTTGCCGTCGTCTGTGACTCCCACTGAGCGGTTTTATGTGCTTGGGCAGAACCCAGTTCTGCATGCTAAGCAGAGCTTGTTGGCAGGGAGCTCCCCCTCCTCCGCAGGCTTCGGAGGCCTGGTGTCTCGGGCCTTGCATTCCCATCGCAGGGACAGCAGCGGCCTCAAGTGCTCGGCCTCAAGGCAGGGTTAATGCTCCTCTCCTTCCTCCTCACTTCCACTGCGGCACTTCGCACGGCTCCTTGTTTTCCGCTCTGTTTCTCTTTGGCTCCTTGGCTTCTCCTCTCAGGGCACGTGGCCCCCAAAGCCATCTTCACAAAGCCTGCAGGAAAATTCCCTCGGTAGACGGACGTTTCTGGCATCCTTTGGAGAAGCTCGCAGGGCAGACTCCCGTGCCCCTTCCACAGTGAAGGCCAAGCCTCAGCTGGAGGACGCCACAAGTGAGCGCCCTCACCCTGCATCCCGCAGCTCACACGTTGCCCAACACCTTCTGGGACGTGCGTGCCCAGCTGCCAGCCTGGTGGCCTGCCTTCGCGCTGAGGGTCTTCCAGTTCTTCAGCCCAGCCGAGTTCTGGAGAAGCTCCCCTTCGACTGCCTGCCTTCTAGCACTGCGAGGCTTTCTCTCAGCTGTGGACCTCTTCGCCTCCTGTGAGGTTCTTTCTTCTGCACCCCCAACACACACTAACCCTCATGGCCACAACAGACTGTGCGCTCCAGTGGGCCGGGGAGCACACTGCCCATTCCTCCCGGCCTCTGGTCCCACCAAGAACACCAGCTGCGCTCAGCCCTCTGGGCCTCCAGACCCGTCAGCGCTGGGCAGGCGTGGGACGGCTTGCCAGGGGCAGCAGCATCGTGGTCTTTGGCGAAACGAGCAACGGGGCTTAAGGTCCCTTTCCTCCTCGGTCTCTCTGCGCCGCTGAGACTGCTGCCCTCGCTGCTCATCACACGGGTGTCTTCCGCCATCCCGTGCGCCCCGGAGCAGGTCGGGAGCGCCTGGTAGGAGCCCCACGAGGGAGTGGCCTAAGCAAGAGCCGCAGCATGGGGGCCGCAGGGAGGGGCCGCTCGGCTGTGCTGCGGGTGCCAGAGCGCCAGCTCCTTCACAAGCAGGTCCGGTGAAAACTCCGCGTCACTCGTCTGTTCCCGCTCCTCACAGGGCTGGCAAACATTCGCAGCAGGTTTGGTGCGCTGTATTCTGATCACCGTATTCAACATTTGCAGGGCATCCTGCTTTTGAAGGACCGCCTGGACCCAGAAGGGGGCCCTCTGTGCCCGTATGTGTGAGTCACGGAGACCACGAGGAAGGGCAGACGGCTCCCGGCAAGCGTTGCTGTTGGAGCGGTCACCTCTGATCCAAAACAGCCCACCCTCCTTCCCTCTTCGGTGTCCTGCATCTCTTCACCCCTCTGGCAGGTTGCCTGGAGCAGTGGGTGGCTCTCCCATCGGAAGGCTTTGCTGAGCTCTAGAAGGTTCCAAAATCTCTTCTGTGCAGGTGCACGGAACAACACTTGCGTAGGTGAGAGGGGACACGATCTCCCTCTAGAGTTGCCTCCAAGGCTGCCACAAAGAGGAAGGTCAAGGTCTCTTCTGGCTGATGCCAGAGGGCAGGAGACGGAATACTCAATTCAAGCTGTGACAGCCCAGATTCAGGCTGGACATCAGGAAGAGCTTCCTCACGGTCACAGCAATATGAGAGTGGAACCAGCTGCCCAGAGAGGTGGTGGGCTCTCCCACACTGGAGACATTCAGGAAGAAACTGGACAGCCCTCTGAGTGGGGTGGTGTGAATTAGTGACCTGCAACAGCAGGGGTTGGACTCAATGGCCTGAGTCTGTGATTCTAGGTAGGCATCTTGTCCTTGCTTGAGAGACAGCAGAATTCGCTTTCCCTAAGCTGGGTTCTTCCAAACGGTGTGTTTCCCCCATCATTCCTGACCATCGTCCTTGCTGACTGAGGCTGATGCAGTCAAAAATGTCTGGCGCAACCAAGGTTGAAGATGACCGAACTACACATTAGTTGATGTATCAAACACAACACGATCCAATTTAAAACACTGGATTCATACATGATTCATGGCAAAGGAGCCTAGTGGATTTCTAGGAAACGCTGCTATTTCTTTCCATCTTGACAGTGTTCTGATTTCCACAGCATGCTAGCATGGGGTTTTCAATCTGTTAAAATGCTGGGTTGGTTTGGCGCTGGCTTACATGCAATGGGGAGCTTGTGGGATGCTCGTCAAAAGAAATCGGCTGCCACGAGGAAGCCTGCATGGCCATTTCTGTACTTGGCTCAGTGGTTGTCAGGCAGTGGATCCTTCCCCAGGTACTGCTTGAAAAGGCAGGGATGGAGCTGTGTTTGTGTCAGGGAGAGGGTAAAGAACAAATGCCACGTAACCTCCGACATCCCATTTTAAACATCCTTCTAGGGATGGGCCTTCTCAAAGGCCCGCTTTGCCTTTTCTCCCCATGAACTCGCCAACTCTCAGGGTGAGCCCTTGAAAGTCATCAAGTCATTCTTTTTAGTACCAAAAAGACAAAGCCTTGACAAGCCACGCTGGCTCCAGGAGGGAGAAGGAAACCAGAAGGTCCTGTCTCATGGTCCACAGGTGCTATTGTTCTTTCTCCAGTCTAAGCCAAGAGGTTCTCAAGCAGACATCTTCCAAAGAGCGACTACCACCAGCTCTTCTCAGTGGAAAGAAAGTCATTTTCTTCTCCTCGGGTTGATTAGCAGGTGGCTAACAGTGCGAAAATTCTAATAGCAACGTTTAGGTCCTAAGGACCTTTTTTTAGGAATAAACCCCACTGAATCCACTGGAAGTGACTTCCAGGTTCCGTGCATCAGATCGGGCCTCGCCTTCACCAGGCCAGCGGTGGTGGCTGGGAACCTCTGCATTTCCGCTCCTGGCGCTTTGCGCATTTGCTTTTCAGACAGCCAAGGTTCAAGCCCCGGTTGGCACTTCTAACATGCTAGCCTCTCTTGTCTCCTGTTTTCACCCTTGTTTTTTGAAATGGCCCACAAAAAAGCACCCACTGCCCCTTGCGTGGCAACCCCTGAACACACCATGGCATGCAATATCTCATACCGTTTCAGGAACATCAATTAAACACATATTCAAAAAGTGTTATAAACACTTGCTGTTTCCCATGGAAACAAGTGAACATGCAAAATTTGACCGTACTAGCCTCTGTCTTAACAATAGTTCAACTGGAGTGACCAAGCTCCCTTTCGAATCATACTTTAAAAATGTTACATACTAATTTAAGGGTGTTCTTTGAGGTGGCATTTTATTCATTCTTTTGCTTTAATTATTTCAAAAGATACGGATGCTTTTACAGAAGGAAGTGGAAAAGCGAGGAAAAGAGTTTGGGATATACTTGGGCATGGAATATGCATAATTTCGTGAGCAATTTTGTACAACCTATTATCTTGTTCCAAGCTGCTAAAAGTTAAGTCATATTCTGAGCTATGTTGACTTTGATCGTGGAAGGAAATTCTAAACTTCACGAGGCCACTGCTTGTGGGAACTTGGTTGGCAGGCAGATTGTTTTGGAACAACAGGGATGTGAGACCATCGTGTTTGAACATTTCCCCCTTTGAGAAACAAAACGAGGCCCTTCAGAATTCAGACATGGACCCCCGGCTTCCAGAGGTGCTCAGCCTTCAAGCCCACCCACTTTGCATGGTTGGCTGTACACGTTGCTGGCAATTTTGTAGGCAGTGTTGTATCTGAACAGTTAAGAGTTGAAATATGCCGAAGGTCATCTTGCCATTGTGCATTTCTCTCCTGATGCTGAACCTCAGACTTCAGGCCGTAAGTCCAGCTCTTGCCTCCGCACATGCGGCTCAAAGTCCAGCTGAAATCTGTCTCACTGAAAGGAAGCCTTAGCATGGTACCGCTCCGACTTGGTCTTGGGACTTGGAATGAAAAAGCTTTTCATTTTCCTTTAACTGTATTTCTAGTGCTTGGATGGTTTCTCTGGCTGCTTGGACCTTGTTTGGTTTATGTAGATGGGAAAATTGCCCATGACCGCATGTGAAAATGAGTTCTGGAAGCTAAGAACTCTTATCCTGCATCACCCCCCCTCCCCGCTCCGATCGTAGCGCTGCAACATGTTGCTCTCTCACACCGCTCAAACCCTTGGAAGAGCTCGCTGGCCCCCGCCAAAGCTCGCCTTCCTTGTCTGGCAGGGGTTCACGGACCCGTCTTGTCCAATCTGAAGCCCCTCCTGAGCTTGTCCCTGCTGCCCTTGCAGCATGAGGCATCGCGCTGATTTTGCGTCCCTCTTCAAATGTGGTCTTGCGCCTGGGCGACTCTGGTCTGGCCAAGCAGCCCTCCTTTGAACAGGGAGCCATCCCACGAAGAGCGGCCCGCGCTTTCTAGGTGGAAGACAGGCTCGCCCATGGAGTCCTGTCTTCTACGGTACTCAGAAGTACCTTGAAGGAGGAGTTCTTGCATTCCTAAAGCAGGAACTCGGGCCTCTCCCCCTCAGTGCCTGCTTAACGCACAGGAAACGGGGGTGGAGGAACACTAGCCGGATGGCCGGGGAGTGGTTGCGAGGGGCAGGTTGCCAGGAGAGAGGACGTGCATGTGGTGAGGCGCTGTGTAAAGGCCTGAGCTGGGGCATGACCAGTAGGCACGGGCGCCAACCCAGTCCTGCAGGGGGCTGCGCAGCGGAAGACGGCCGCCCGCCTGCCCGCTGGAACACGTTCCTCTGGCCGTTCCTCGGAGGAAGTAAGTGGCTGGGCTCTTCCCGGGCTTGTTGCTCCTGCTCATCACCTGTCCGTGTTCTTGTTCTCTCCTGTCTCTGCAGAAAGTGATGCTTCCTTCAGGCGCGGCATTCCGGTGGTTTCAGTAGGAACGAGAATCCCAAAGCTCCGTCAGCCAGTGCATTGCCACTGCTTGCTTGTGTTGTTTCAGGCAAGGATTTTTTTGGCGGAAATGAATGGATGCGCCCGTGTCTCCTTTAGAACCAAAAATATTTTCTCGCAGATTTCATTCCTGGTTTTTATATATATAAATATATATATATAATTTTTGGCATATGTTTAACATCTTCAAGTGCTAGTAAAGCAAACATTAACTGCTTCTCAAATGTTTTTTTAAAAGGATCCATAAAGTATCAAGAGGTCATAGAGTACGGACAATCAATCAATTTATTTTCCTGTGTTTTGGTGTTGATGTTGTTTATTTGTGGAAAATGGCAGTTCTTGTGTAGAGAATGTAAATTGACAGTAACCTTTTAAATCTAGTTACTAATAAGCACTACTGTAATTAGCACAGCTGTTTACTCATTCATTTTTTGTTTGATTCTTTTCCATCATTAAAGAAAAAATAGTGGCTAGTTTCTAGAATGCCTCAACTCCATGTTTATAAATGAGAATATGTTTAATATGAAGTAGTTCCCTTTTCCTTAACCATACACATAAGATAAGGTTTAATCAGCAAGATGTTTGGTATTAAAAAGTGAATCTGTACTGAAAAACCGGCAGGTCTTTAAAGCAAAAACACAGTAATAAATAAGTGTAGAGCAAGATAAACTGCACATAGAATAAATCCAGAACTAACTGAAATGATTCTCCTTTAGAAACCATTTGAAAATGTTACTGGGATTCAGATATAAGTGACTACAGAACTTTGTGCTGAAAACATAGATGAGTCTTTTTCTTCTGTTCAAAGCCCTCGTCTCCTGCTTTCTCACACTACCACTAACGGAAAGGCTGTTTGTAATGTTCTAGCAATTCGGGCTGTTTTGTGAATAAAAATCAAAGCATGGTTTGCGTCATGGTTTGTATCTTCATTCTGGCCATCTTGGTTGTGTGCAGGCGCTTTCTGGTTGGTTTATTTCGGGCGGGGCACCAGATAATCCCGTCTCCTCCTGCCATTTCACAACATCTCCCAATGGTTGTCTTTCTTTGTTCAAGGAGGTTTAAACTGAGGGTGTTCAGCAACAGCAGGTTTTCTGAGTTTTTTTTAAAATAAGAGAAGCGCGCAAGCTGAATCAGACATTCTTCTGCCATGCATGTGCCACTGGCTAGCCAACATGTTCGGCTCGGATGCAGTGAGCCAAATCTGCAGCATTTTTGTCCAGTCGAAGTAAAGGCAGACACTCAACATTTGGCCACCAGGGCATTTGCCCCAATGGGGAGGGTTAGCACTCTTAGCAGGGGAAACCAACGCATGCAGCGTGAGCCGCGGCTCTGGCCGGACGAGGTGCCCCTGGCGGTGGAGCACACGGGCACCGGCGTGGCAGGACCCTTCCCGACAGCGACAGACGCACAGTCCAAGAGTACAGACCTCGCGTGGCGTTCCCACCCGAGCTGCTGAGACTCCTGACTCTTCTCCATCCCGCTTTGTCCTTCCCAGCAAGTTCTTGTAATAGTTACTCCAGTTTTGGCACGTGAAACCAGGTGTGCTCAGCTGATCCTGCTGCTGTAGGGAAGGGGCAGCTTTGTTGAAAACTTCAGTTTAAAACACCGAGTGGCAGTGATCACTGTAGCCGTTACCTCTGCTTTTTGCATATGGCGCGGCAGTCCCCTTAGTCTGCAACAAATAATCCTATTTAAACTTGTATTGCCAATAAAACATTAGGTGAATGCTCAGAGATAGAAAATATATCTATTTAAAGTGGACACATCAAGGCTGCAAAGAAGCAAGAATGGCACATTTGCATTGAGATTGTCGTTGAGTTATTACAAAACCATGAACTCGGCATTCAGAATCCGGTTGGATCCGCCAACTAAGGATGGAGGAAAGCTAATACTTCCCAGGGCATCCGAGGATCAGTTCCGGTGTTACTCCAGGTTTTCTCTTGACCTGTGGTCCTCGTGCCGGGGGTGGATATCTGTGCCCCGCAGCACTTCTTGCCCCTGCCTAGTAAAGGCAGGCTCGATTCTGGAGCAGAGCAGGGTGCAGAACTCACATTTCCTTGACGCGTGATTTGGGGTACCTGGGGCAGGATTCCACATTCACATTGTTGAACGAGGTGCTTGCAGCTCTTGGTGAGCGCTGAGCTGCCTCCTAGCATCCCTGATCCTGAAGGATTATTCCCGGTTAGAGCTCCTGCGTCTTCAGGGACTCTGCCACGGCTTGGGTCGCCGCTCCCTTTTCCAGGGCGTGTCTCCCAGGGCAGGTCACAGGCATCCTGGGAGGAGGAGGTCTTCAGTGGGGCACAGGGCTGGGGGGAGAGGGGAGCTGCGTGTGGAAGCCCCACCAGCCCCATCGTCACCTCCCCCTCTTCCCCCACCCCACTTGCCCAGTGGGGCTGGAGAGGAATTCAGTGCTGCTTCCCCCCTCCCTTCCCCTCCATGGTGCAGATCAGTGACATGCTTGCACAGGAGTAAACCGCATCGACTCAAGAGCACCACAGCCTCCCCCTCTTCCTTCCCCACCCCGTGACTTTTGCCAGGGGCAGGAGGAACATCCAGCCCCCCCCCCCCCCCCACTTTAAAGAAAGAGGAATCTCTGCCCAGCGGTTCCTTTGCGCTTGTGCGTAACAAACAGGAAAAAATCCTCCCCTTACTTGTCCTTTAAAGGGGGGATTCTGCACACATACACACACACACACACACACAACCCCACTTTCCAGCCCCCCCCCCCACAGTTGCATTTGTGTGTAGTGCAAGATCGCTGTTCCAACAGGGTGGGAACCTTGCTGGCTTTGCCCACATGTCCCCGGGAGCGACTCATGTGCTTTGCGCAAAGCCCGGCCTGATGCTCCCGGAAGGCAGAAGGGGCTCCAGGCCACATCTCCCCAGTGGACTTTCCCCAGCGCTCCCTTTCATCATGAGCTGCTCTCCAGGAGGACGGCCAGGTGTCTTTCCAGCACAGAGGCTGCCTGGATTCCTGCGAGGTAAGTCCCCAGCGCTTCCTCTGCTGCATTTCCGCTTGCAGATCCAAGCGGAAGGGAAGTTCGGGAGCTTCGAGGGTGCAGCGCCGACTGGAACGCGATGAGGACAGCAAAAGCACTGAAGAGGCTCCGGGTGCCCTTCTGGCAGGCACTGTGATTATGGGCCACTTCACCGGAGGCGCCAACTATTATTCTGGACTGGTTTTGGGGAGGGCGACAGGAGGGGAAGACGGAGGGAGAGGAAATGCCGAAGGCACAGAGTGTGACTGGTGCGTTATTCATAGTGGCCATTCACCAAATGGCTGTTGCTGATAACCACACTTTCTGCCATTAGAGAGCGATTTAGCATGTGTTGCTCTGCGAATGAATGGCAAGAGCCGCAGCATCCAAATTCAGATGGAAAGAGCTGCATTTGGACCTCTGGATGGCTCCTCTGGCCCTCCCTCCCTCCCTCCACTGTCCCTTTGCCCGAGAGCGGCCCTGTGAAGGTCACTCAAAAAGCAGTGAGGTTCGGCCACCCACTGGAGCTCAGGGGAGACCCCCATCCCCAGAAAGCGCCTTCGATGAGCTAGTGAAAAGCGGCCAAATCTTGCACAAGCTTTAGTTCCCCCGAAGTCCCACTCGGGGCAGAGTGTGAAGGGGAAGGGAGGGAAACCGCTGTGGCATCTGCACTGAGTTACCGTCTGGAGGTGGAAGGTGGGAGACAAGGCCGTGACTAGACAAGCCAGGGCGTGCTGTGGACGCTGGGCATCGGTGCGCTGCGGGTCCCGAGGCAGGGCCCCCGGCCGAGTGGTCTGAGCAGCCAGCAGGGAGTGTGCGCACGGTGCGGGTTTTGGGCAGCCCTTCAGCCATGCTGAAGCTCAGGCACAGGGGAGGACGGGTGAGGAGCGAAGCCGGGCGATGACGGCAGCGCAGGACACCTCCGCCGCTGGCGCAGCCATGTCAAGTCTGGACACACTGGCCATCGGGTGCCGGAGGCAGCACTTGTGGAACTGAATGCAGCCCACGCAGGCCCATCCACCACGCAGAAGCCCCGCAGTGAGGAGCTGCGTCAGCCCTTTGGGCTTGGGAAGCCGCAGCAGCCCTGGTCTCGGAAGGCTCTTCCTTCCAGGGAAGAGCCTTCTGCAGGAGTGATTATTTTCCCTTCTCCTTCCCTTCCCTCCCGCCTCTTCCTTCGTTCCAGTCTTTGGGAAGAGCAGTCAGCCGGCAGATTCAGATAGATGTCTAACTAGAAAGCAGGACCTGCCTCGCAGCTCCTAGGAGGTCTTTCTCCGTTCTGTCTGGCTTATTTTTCTTTTCCTCCCCCGTTTTTCTAAAGGGGTAAAGCTGTTTGCTCTTAATCCCGTGTCCTTGCTGATGGTGTGAAAAAAGACTGGGGGGAAATGGGCAGACGATGCAAAGGAAGGCACCCCAGGCTCCCCACAAGGGGAATTTTCAGTGTCATTGGTGAGCCATGGAGAAAACTGTTCAGAAGTGCCCAAATAGACCCAAGGCCAACATGCGGCAGAAAACGTTTCTTTCTTTCCTGGGGAGAAACTGGCAGCCTGCTGAGGGGAGCGCTTTGTCTCTTGTGCCTGGGTCACAGTTTGCATGCTGGGGCTGGGGTTCAGGTGGGTGGCCAGCAACCCGGTGGCCCCTTCGACTGAATTCCGGATTCCCCCACAAACTCCGGTTCTGCAGACACCGTTCAGGGTACCTCACGGCTGGGCCTGCACATCAAGCTGTCCCACCTGGAAATGGGAACCCTGCACCGCGCCGAGACCTCCCCTGAGCCGAGCAAGACGCTCAGGCACAGCAGGGCTCGTGTGCTCCCATCCCCTCCGCCTCCACACTCCTCGCCCCCTCCCAGGGAATGCCACGGGGGCCCCCAAAGGCCCCCCCGAGCGAGCGCGTCAAGCCATCGAGCACAGGCTGTGGCTTGATGACGCTTGTTCTCAAAGACCCTCTGCACTATTCACGCTTGGAAAGTGAGAGTAGCCCAGAGCCCCGCGAAAAACCCTCAAAACCCCAAGGGTCCTGCTGGGATGGGTGCGTTAAAAAGTCTGAAGAAATAGCCCGCAGTGGGATGCGCCCTTGCGATCGGGCGTGGATGCTCGTCAGCATGGCAGAAACTGCGCACGCAGAATTGCAAGGACGAAGCCCACTCCATGACGAAACTGTGGTGGGAGGCGTTCCCCATTGGTGGGCTCCTCTCTTGCATTGCCCCCCCCCATCAAAAAGAATCTGGGTAGACTGCATGCTTTCGGCTATTGGGTTGGGGGAGGGGGGAGTGTCCTAAATCCCTCTGACAGGGGCTCCTCCATTAATCCCAGTTCTATCAATATTAACGTTAAGGAGCTTCTGCGTTCAGCTCCCATTAATTAAAGTACGTTTGTGCACATTTAAAGCGTGGTTCTCAGATGTTTGCACACGGTTGTGCACAATTCTGTTGCTCCAGGAACCCTACTTGAAGCACGCAAGCTTCAACCGCAGATTTTGTGCAAGCCCGTGCTCTCTTTGGGATGTGCCAAGGTGGCACAGCCTGATGCGGACAGAGAGTCTCTTGTCCATCCCGCTCCCAGGAAAAGCGCCCCGCCTGGTGCGCGTTCCAGCACTGCTGGCTCTTTCCATGCTCTGCGTCGGCTCTGCCCCCCGGACTCTGCACAGGTGAAGAAACAAAGTCCAGGCTGGCGGCCATGGCAGCAAGGGCTTTTGAAGGCAGGGGAGCCTAGAGGGTTCAGCCAAATTGGCCAGGCTTCTGCCTTGCCCCATGCCGGGGGATGCAGGTAGGAGATGCCTGGCTGACGAGCCAGGCAAGGAACTAGGACCAGTAAGCAGGGGAAAGGAATTGCCCAGTGGCCCGTGCGAGTGCTGCGGCCGGAACAGGCACCGAGCTCTCATTGCACGCGACTTGCTACTGAATTTTCCTGCGCAAACCCGCACAGCTACGGCTGGGC